CGCCCGGCCTGAATTCTTTATAATAGAATATGTGGAGTTGGCTGGAATGACTTAAACCATTGGCCAATATTTAAATCATATACATGATTTTTTCAATGTTGAATATAGACACACTGATTTTTTTTTCTGTTTGTAAGTCACAGACCTTTGAACATAAGGTTTGAATTTAATCAATGGATTCCTACCTGAGATTTATCTTATCTTTAGCTGCTCAGAACTCTTACCCTCTCCAAACTGTTAGACATTGCTGTAGTCTGAGATACAAAACCAACTTTCAGCTTAATGTGAATTTACTGTGGAATACATACACAACTATTAAAAAGTTTATACGAATAATAAGAATACAATAAACAAGGTGAGAACATTTGAATCCTTAAACTGTGGTGAATACTTTAGAAATAGAATTACTGTGTTAATTACAAATCATGCAGTTCAGCAAACATCTTCTAAAGGTTTTTGGGAATAAAGGCTACTGAATAATGTCTATTCTAAGTAATAATAAGGATCCTGTCATTTGTCAACTTGACAGCATGCCTTTCATTAAGAAAAGATTAGTTAGTTGCTAAGTATCAGTCTGAATTGGTACAGTTTTACATTTTCCTTTTTTCTGATTTGAGGGAGTTAATTTATTGACTTTAAAAGCTCCCACCTGATAATGAAATAAGAAGAGGAAGAGATTCTAATAGTTTAAACAAATAACTTTACTGTTCATGTTTTCTCATGACACCAGAACTTGAAAGTTAAATTTGTTGCAGAATATGGGCTATTAAGTATTGACTCCATTTTTAACCAAAATTTACAAAAAGTTACACAATTGCACAAATATCATAGATAAAATATTTGTTATAGTTAAGCACCTTTCCTTCTTACTTGAGCTCTTTGGAACGCCTGACCCCAAGCAATCCTCCTGCCTTGGTTTCCCAGAATGCTAGGATTACAGGCATGGGCCACCGTGCCTGGCCTTACCTGAGCTCTTTGAAATTAGGTATTGTTTAGAAATAAATCATAACAGTATTTGTCAGGTCCAGAATCTAACAGCAGAATTTTGTATTGTGTAGTGCTCATCTTTTTGGATATTAATTAATAAATTTATTGATTGGCTTAAAACAGCAGAGGTTTATTCTCTAACAGTTCTGGACCCCAGAATACTGAAATCAAAGTGTCAGCAGGGCTCTGTTCCTTCTGGAGTTTTTTTGATATTTAAAAATATATACTTCAGGATATATTTTGGATGGCAAAGCTCAAATATTAATAGTTGATTTTACATTATCTACTTAACTTTAGCAAAGAAGAACAATGTCAGTACAGTACTTTGTTGCAAATTGTATTTAGTGACATTATTTTTTTTTTTTTTTTTGAGACAGAGTCTCACTTTGTTGCCCATGCTACAGTGAGTGCCGTGGTGTCAGCCTAGCTCACAGCAACCTCAAACTCCTGGGCTCAAGCAATCCTTCTGCCTCAGCCTCCTGAGTAGCTGGGACTACAGGCATGCGCCACCATGCCCGGCTAATTTTTTATATATATTAGTTGGCCAATTAATTTCTTTCTATTTATAGTAGAGACGGGGGTCCCCCTCTTGCTCAGGCTGGTTTCGAACTCCTGACCTCGAGCAATCCGCCCGCCTCGGCCTCCCAGAGTGCTAGGATTACAGGCGTGAGCCACAGCGCCCGGCCTGTTTTCTGACTTTAAATCGTATTTAGTAAATTGAAATTGGTGCCTCACCTGTACCTGCTTTGACTGAAAAATGCTAATACCCTTCATAAATACCTAGCTTATTTATAGGAAGTAATTCACTTACCTATCCACATAGTTCATAATACTGTGCTATTATGTATAGTATCCATTAGACTTGCCAACCGCTAGCTGCAAAATTTAAAATTAGTTTTATCTCTAGTTTAAAAGAGGGTCAGATAATATTTACCGTTTACCTGATTCTGATCTTCTGCATTGGAAAATACAGTTAATAGATAATAGTGGATGTGGATAGTGATTCAACCTATAACAGTAAATTAAAATGAATATCACCCATGTAGACTTGTTTTAGGCTACTCCTGATATTTTTAAGACCACCTTACTAATTTAGCAAGCACCACTTTCCAAACAGTGTAGATTCTTATGAAGACTTTATCTTATATGTGGCTTCATCTGGTAAAGAAAATAAGCTAGAGAGAAATTAAAGGGCTTTCTTCATGATAGTCACACCTTGTTAATTTGGGCTTAAGTTTACTTTTGTGGTATCATTGAAAAAAGCTATGTTAAATAAAAGTGTGGTGAGACTGTATGAAAACTCTTTTAACCATTTCTGTAAGAAGGATATTTTAAATTTATGGATTAATTGACATACTGATAAGTCATTAAGGTGACTCACATAGAGCTGTATTAAGGACTTCTATTAGGTAACATTTTTACTCATTTGAGTTATTATATGCATTTAAAAATAAATTGATTTCTTTAAAAGTTATTGGCTTAGATATTTCCTAATTTAGATTTACTTTTACTTCATTTGAATAGCTATTTTGCACATCATATCCTCACTTAACTTTACTTAATTTACTGTATTGGTTAGTTAATGGCAGCAATATATAACTAGGGCTTCTGGTCTCCAGATTTTCCACTTTATCTGTTTGCCATGATAGGTTTATTTACTGAGACTTTTTGTCTAGTTTATCTTAAGAAATTGCCCTTAGACATTTCACCTGCCCAAAGTAAATGTTGAGCTTTTTAGTTTTTGAAGAGGATGATTAAGAAACTTTCCCCTTTCTTGTAAACACTTTGTTCCTTTTTGACCCTGTTCTTGCCAGGATTGTGCATGTGCACTCTCTCTCTATTTTTTAAATAAAACTTGAAGATGATTATATACAATTCAAATTTAAAGATATCCCACCATAGGAATCCATGAATTAAAAGGTTTCTATATAAAAGATTTCATTGAGTAGATTAATTTTTGCAGATTAATATTATAAGTTATGACAGTTCTTTCCTCTCCCTTGCTCCCCAGGACACTTTATTGCTGAAAATGTAATTAGGCTATTGCTATAGTTTCAGGCTGTCTGCTTCTATTACAACTGAAATGAAATCTGCTGTATATTAAAAGATGGCCACTTGAGAAAACTCTGTAGTTCTAAGGCACTTGAAAATTTCCAGCAGGAGACAGAATGTTGTTAATAAAAGTTTTGAGATCTCCTTGCTATTGCTTGCCTTAACAAATGCTTTCTAATTTTTTAAAAGTGGCAGTATGGTATGGTAGTGGAAAGAAAATGGTTTTTAGAGTAAGAAGGGGAACTTTTGAAGGTACACCTGCTAGACATTGTGTTAGGGATTGGTAGGGGCTTTATGTACTTTTCTGTTCTTTGATTTCCAGCTTTGTCTCTCACAAGCTTTGTGGTCTTGGATAAGTCACTTGATTTCTGATTTTCAGTTTGTAAAAGGGTTGTAAAATGTTTCCCCTATCCATTCATAGAGTTAGTTTAAATGAAATAATGAGTCTGAAAAGTGCTTTGTGAACTATAAATTGTTTAGTAGATGATTGATTTTAAAAAAACAGGACATATTTACCACTTTAAATAGAAGGCAATAAAAGCTAATATTTACTAAGAACTTACCATCTTCCAGGCACCATAAAAATGGTTTCTTTACGTAGGTTATTTTATCTTATTCTTATAGTTTTATGAGGTAGATACCATTATCTTCATTTTAAAGAAGAGGAAAGTTATGCGGGGAGAGGACAAGTAGCTTGCCCAAGGTTATGTAGCTAGTAAATGACAGAGTTGGGATTTAAACATAGGCAGTCTGAATCTGAAACCTAAGCTCTTGACCAACCACCTAAAATATTGGCTTTTCATGTGAACACACCTACCTTTCCATTTTGCCATTGTTCTCATTAATAGTGAATTTTTTTCTTTTTTGTTGTTCTTTTAACCCACTAAATGTTTTCAAGACATTTTCATTTAAATCTTTTACCATTCCTCTGGATAGAAATGTTGCAAATGTTGGCATAAACTAGCCATTTTATAGTTTCTATTTCTTCCTTAGTAATCTTTAAAATAGTAAGACTTTGGAAAAATACAACTTTGTGTAGGGAAAAAGAATCTCCAAATTAGTAATGTTTTTATTTCTTGTGGCACTTTTTGTTAGGCGTAGAAAGTGAAAAAACATTAAGAACAGCATATGTTACTGTTGTTTTTGTAAATCTGCTAAAGTTTTCTCTGTTTTTTGTTTTCCTATTTGTAAGGAGATCTACCACTGTAGAAGACAAATAAAATATAGCAAAGACAAGATGTGGTATTTGGCAAAGTTGGTAAGCTAAACTGACTATTAATTATTGTATAATACCTAAGAAAAAAAGCTGTGAGTGCCTCTCTCCCCGAATTTGAAAAATCAAAATAATTTGCCTTGATTCCTCTAAAAAGTGAGGAATATAAAACACTTGGTAGGTAATCAAAAGAATGACAATTGGTAGGTAATCAAAAAAATAATGCTCAGAGATATATGATTTTTAATTTTTACCTTCTGATAAACTAAATCACATTAGATATTTAAAGTGAAGGCATCAGGAGTCTGGCTATCACCACAGAATCCAGGAAGCTTACTTATCTGTAAAAGTTGATTCAATTTAGTTTAAAACTATTGTTTTTTGGGTGTTTTTCCCTGGAAAATGAAATCTGTAGGTCAAGAGAGACAAAAGGAGCAAATATACATGTAATATATTTACCCTGTAGAAGGCGATGCCTTTAATGCCTAGTATGGCAGTTGCCAACCTGTGGTCTCTGTTTATCACATCTGCTCTCTTTTAATGTTATTGAAACTATTACAATCTAGGTTTTTTTTTGAGACAGAGTCTCACTTTATTGCCCAGGGTAGCCGTGGTGTCAGCCTAGCTCACAGCAACCTCAAACTCCTGGGTTCAACCAATCCTTCTGCCTCAGCCTCCTGAGTAGCTGGGACTACAGGCATGCGCCACCATGTCTGGCTAATTTTTTCGATATATTTTTAGCTGTCCAACTAATTTCTTTCTATTTTTAGTAGAGATGGGATCTCACTCTTGCTCAGGCTCTTGCTCAGGCTGGTCTCGAACTGAGCTCAAGTGATCCACCTGCCTTGGCCTCCCAGAGTGTTAGGATTACAGGCGTGAGCCACCACACCCAGCCTATAATCTAGGTTTTATGATTAAAATGTTTAAATGTGATTTTGACTTGAAGATGGTTTCCCTTCTCAAACTTGTTTTCTTCTCTTTTGCCTGAGTTCAGTTCACTGTTTTTTGAAGTTATTTGGTCTGTGTAAGGCTTTTATTTCTCATTGAAAAGGGAACATGGATTTTGTAAACTAATTTCTTTATTCTCTCTTGTCTATCACCCTTTAATTATAGATACAAGGAATGTCCATTGACCAGGCTTTGGCTCAGTTGGAATTCAGTGACAAAAAAGGAGCCCAAATAATCAAAGAGGTAGACTTGGGTGCGATGGTGGTGGTGAGAATGGGGGGATGCAACTGTCTTACTGTTGTTAGTAAGCTCACTCTAAATCATGAATTCCCTGAATTTTCTGTTGTGACTGCATACTTAATATAATATGGATTTAGAGCACTTAGTTTTATTTTATCCTTATACCTTAGGAATGATGTATGCTTTAGATATTTTTTCCAGACATGCTTTTATTTGCCCCAGGCATTTATTTATTTATTTTTTTACTGTCTATGATGCAATAAATCTTATTTTTAATGATTTGGGGCTTGGTATGTTTCTAGATTTTTTTTTTGTCAATTCCAAATGAGAATTTATGATTTTATAACTGGTTGAGTGGAACTCAAGAGACTTGCAATGTAGTCTTTTCTCTGATATTTTTCTTATAACCATGAACAAGACACTTAACCAGTCTGGTTCCATTTTTCTCACCTCTAAACTTTATGGGATTGGATTAGATAATATCTAAAGCCCCTTCCAACTCTAAGTGTAGCTGATTCGCTAGGAACAGATGTGTTGATGGTATTTGTGCTGACTCATTTTAGGCACATGAATATTTTTGTTTCAAAAAGTTGTGTTGACTATTCTCCCTTACCATCTGGGGATATCAGCATTATTTTCTGTATTTTCAATTAGTTCTCACCTAATGTCTGTTCTTTCAGTTTAGTAGTTGAATAGTTGAGATTGATGGATTCAAACTTCTAAGAGGTTCTGTTGTAATGCTGTGGTTTTACTGTATTTAATTCAATTCAGAATGCATTTGCTAAGTATCTGTTATGTACTCAGCCTTGTACTATGTCTTATCTTTAAGTGAGTAGAATTTGGTTTCTTTTATTTCTGAGAGCAATTGTCGTATTTTAAAAATGTATTGTGGAGGAAGTTAACTTAATTCAAAATATCCATGGAGAGTAAATTTAATAATTAACTTCTTAAAGGAAATTCTCAAGTATGATTTTTCTCTACTTGTCTGATGTTGTTAATGGTTACTTTGGATCTAAAGTTACAAATTTTTAATAAGATTTAGCTCTTGAGTTTCATGAACTTTTTGATAAATAAGTCTTTGATTCAAAGACATAATGTTCCTTGCCAAGGGTTACTGCTTACAAGTGCTGCTGTCTCCTTCTTTACAGCTTACTTGTGCCATTTAAAATGTAGTAGAATGGACTGTGTCCCCTATATTTGTAATTCTTGTGTGAGGAGGGAAAGCTCCCCTCTTTTTAGTACTCTTGTCACTTGATATTCTCTTTTTAACATTAACTATAGAGACAAGCAATTAGCAGTCATATAACAGAGATAACAAGAGATGAAGAATTCATTCTGTTTTAGTTCAGGTTTAGCCATATAAATGCCTTTGTTTTCCTTGTTTAAGGTTCTCTTAGAAGCACAAGATATGGCAGTGAGAGAGCACAATGTGGAATTCAAATCCAATTTATATATAGGTAAGATTTTTAGTATTCTTAGTGTTGGAAAATGTCTTCCAATAGTAATGCCATATTCTTTATCTAGCAACAGTCTTTATTTTTTTTACTTTATTTTATTTTATTTTTTATTTTAGCGTATTATGGGGGTACAAAGTGTTAAGATTACATATATTGCCCATACCCCCCTCCCCTGAGTAAGAGCTTCAAGTGTGTCCATCCCCCAAACGTAGCAACAGTCTTTAATATCTAACTACTCAGAACTTGATTCGCTGGTGAAAATTGCTGGTAATAACTTACTCTTCAGCCTTAAGCATGTCAATTTAAACTTACTCTAAATGATAATAACTGTGCTGTTTTATTCTTACCTGTTTTGTAATGATACTGAGATCATGAAACTTATTGCCAAAAGTTATTAAATAATGGCTACCAAGACTGGTATATAGAGTGGTCTTTTAATCATAATAAAACAAAGAATATAAGTGATTTTTTTTTTTTAGAAAATAAGTTCTTTGTCAACCAGGAGATAAATAGTGATCACAGATGGACTTAAAAAATCTTTACTTATAATGTGCTAAGCCAGAAGCCTAATCCATAAAGGTGTCCTGTATTTTAACCTTCCACTTATCAGAATGGGAGATCTGTTGAGTCATAAAAATGGAGGGACCTTGGAAGGCTCAGATGACCCAAATGTGTTTGTTCTTCTTTGTTATTACATCCTGAAGCATTATCTCTGCTTTTATATGCTTGTTCCATATCAAATTGAATTTAGTGAAAATGCTTTGGGAAGCATGATGAGTGCACTGTACAAATGTAAGGGTTTTTTTTGCAGCATACCTTTGCACAGCTCTTTTCCTAGAAGGAGATCAACATTTATTATAGACTTCTGTTGCTCCCTTCTGATACCACAGTAAAGTGGAGTAGTTGTTGGAGTTATTGGTTTCTGCTCACCACAGCAGGAATTACTCCTAACCTCAGCAGTTTTGTAATCAAACAGAGATGTTGATGTTGAAGCAAAATTTTCTCAATCTGCCAAACCTACATATAAGGAGGACTGCTTTATCTAAAGATATTTTAAATTCAAGATATGGAGAACTGCTACTCTCCAGATTGAGGTGGAGGCTGAATTACAGGGGAAATTAGTTGTACTTTGTAATTCTTCAACAATTAAAGACAAAAAGATCATCTGAATTCCACTTTGTCACATTACCTCTGCCTACTGGAGATAATTACTGTGGTTAGGTTAAAATCTCACTTCAACTTACCTGGAATTGATGCTGGCAACCATGCATCCTTCTGAAATACAAATTAGTTATGATTTTCAATTGAAATATCTTATTTTAAAGCTGAATCTTGTATAATTTTATTCTAATACATGCACAGATGCAGAGGGAGATTGAAATGGCAACTCAGAAGGTACAGGGCCACAGTAGTTAATCATAAGCATTTTCTTCTGGGAGCAGCATGAATAAATAATGCTGAGGAGGGCTTGGAATCATTGGAAGGGAGGAAATGGATGAGGAGCAAGACTATGTGCTTAAAACTTCTTGGTGATCTTTCCTGCTCTATGAATATCAAATCAAATTTAATTTTTTTCAATTTCATAGGATTGTGAGATTCTTAGCTGATAGACTTTGTAATGGACTTCAGATGCAAATGAAATAGGATTCATCTTTAAATCTTTTTCAGTAACTGTCCTTAAATCCTTTTCAATAATTGCCTTTAAATTCTTTTCATTAATTGTAGTAAAGAAAAATAGAATAAAGAGCTTAATCCTGTCATTTCAAATGAAAGGAGCAAGGTCTAGTGTTGCCATTAAGCAAAAATATTTTTAACCAGTCCTGCATGAATGGCTATTTAATTCAGAGTTCTCCTTATGCACATTTTGACTGAAAAATATCAGTCCTACCTATATTCTCTTTTCATCTAGTTCTGTGATAAAGTCACTTTTCTTAAGTAGGGCTAATAAATTTGGATTTGTCTAATGATTTAAAAAAATTTTTATTCACTAAGTATTTTGATGCCAAATTCCATAATCAAAAAAGATGAGTAACCTCAGGAAGATGAAATATCTTATCATGACATGTTGGGATTTTGTCCCTATATTTGTTTAAATTCCTCAATAAGAATCATCTGAGATTCTTAATAAAAGTACAGATTCCTAGGCTTTGCCACAGACCCATTGGGGAGAGGCCTGGGAAGCTATTTAAACAATTTCTTATTGATTCTTATTTTTTTTATTTTTTTTTTATTTTTTAAAGTCATAAGTGATGATATCTTATTGATTCTTACAGATAACATGTGGGAAACTGTTTATCTCATTGTATTCTTGGAAAAGGCCTAGACGTTGCATTCCATAGACTTCTTTTTTTTTTTTTTTTTTTTTTGAGACAGAGTCTCGCTTTGTTGTCCAGGCTAGAGTGAGTGCCGTGGCGTCAGCCTAGCTCACAGCAACCCCAAACTCCTGGGCTCAAGCAATCCTTCTGCCTCAGCCTCCCGAGTAGCTGGGACTACAGGCATGCGCCACCATGCCCGGCTAATTTTTTTTTTATATACATATCAGTTGGCCAGTTAATTTCTTTCTATTTATAGTAGAGACGGGGTCTCGCTCTTGCTCAGGCTGGTTTTGAACTCCTGACCTTGAGCAATCCGCCAGCCTCGGCCTCCCAGAGAGCTAGGATTACAGGCGTGAGCCACCGCGCCCGGCCCATAGACTTCTATTAGAGTTTTGAAACACTAGTTATTTGTTGACTACCATTTCAGTTCAGCAGTGGCCCTATTAGTACCCTGAAATAAATATAGGCATTTTAAGGTATTAATAAGTGCTTTTTTGGTTGCATATGTTCTCATTATATGGTAATTCTTTCAAATGTCTGGGTCATTGGTCTAAAGCTAATACCTATTGTTGCATGACCACAGATTTAGAAAGTTAATTTCCTTTTAGTCTTATAATGATGATGAATGACATTGTGAATAGGCCTTAAAAAGTGGATATGGACTAATAAAATGTCACTGCTTAGTGATTTATGGCATCTAAAGTGAATCACTTTAGGTAAAGTGATTGATTGGCTTTGTATTAATCTGTCTTCTGGGCTAACAGTGATGGAGGTGGGGAGGGGAAGGTTTCTACTGTTAAAATTTCAAGATACACATTTACCGAAATACTATTATAGTAATAGGAAATATTGGGAATATTTTAAGTACATGGTACCTGTTGAATATTATCTTTAGAAGAGCACAGATTGTTCTCTTTTTTGAGATGTCTTTACTGTTTTCTTCCATTCAAAAAGTATTTGAGTACCTTCAGTGGGCATACTACCCATATAATTAGGTAATGGTATATCTTTTATATCAGTTTAAAATATCTAGCACTTGTAGTTTTGTTTTTTTGACAGTAATATCCCTTTGGAAGAAAACATAAATTGTTCTTTTGAGTTAGACCTTTGTACTCCATTGTGTACATGGTGTACAACCATGTACACCATTAGTGTTATATGTACTGGAAAAACTTTGAAACCTAGTTCAGAATTTGAGAAAATTTACCAGAGATCTCTGTATTGAAAATAATGGCATTAATTAGCAGATAATGTATTTCAAAATCATTTCTGTTCCCATGAGTCATGAACTTTTGGGACAAAACAAATAGAATATAAGTTTGGTTGAAGAGATGACTTTTACAGATGAAACATGAACACTTACAAAGATAGCATATGATTTAGGACCAAAGAGAGAAATACAGTATTGTTTGAGTGGAGAAGAAAAGGTCAATATGTGTTAGGAATAGTCATGGAGATTTTCTAGCAAAATTTGGACATACCTCCAAATTCCCAAAAGATAGGCTTTTTGGGGATTTGGAGGTATGTCTGGGAGAAGAGCAGATTTTCAGAGTGGGGTAACCGTATAAGCAAAGGAACATATGTTGGAATAAGTAGTAATTGTGTGGTGTAATGAGTAGAATGGTATAAAGGAAGTAGAGGGTTGACCTAGAATAGATAAAATCGGAAAGATAAATTGGGCCTAGATTCCAAAGGGCTGAACATGGCAGGCTGTGGCATTTGGTTCAAACTGTATTGAAGAGGTTTGAGAGAGAGATTTATTTTTATTAAATAATAATAAGATATTAAAGTAGTGTTTTAACACTATTAACTATAAGTAGTAGTTTTAAAATTGTGGTCTATGGGAAATATAGGGGTAGAGCCCTTGATATCTTGGTCACTGCTATATCCTTAGAGTCCAAGACAGAGCCTGGTACCCGGTAGGAACTCAGAAATATTTGTTGAATGAATGAATGGCACAGTTTTGGATCTTCCCCAACCAATGTTTCAATCAGAACAGATCAACATGGTAGTGTTTTATATATTGGGCTTCTACATGCTGTTTCAGTTTAATTGGAATGGTTCCACATACAAAAGCAGTTGGCAACCCCTGACATACAGGATTAGTGGAGGAGAGGAATCAGAAACCAGTTTGGAAGCTATGCTGTAAGTCCTGATTTCATTCATATCTCATGATGGCTGTGTTGGGTATTCCAATTGCATTGTGTTAAAGAATCCTCATGTATCAGAAGAACTGATGTTTTTGTTTTAACATAAAGAAATTATGGCATTATGTGCTGTAAGATAGGCAGATGATCTTTTATGGCTTTAGGATGAAATCATGACCGGCATTTAGCAGGTAGTAAGCTTCTGCTCTTGTGCAGATATCCATAATTTGTGTTTTAGGGGAGGGAAAAGGGAAGTGAGAGTTGACACAGACCCTGATAGGGTTGATTATTGTGTTTTAACAGGTTATATAGTGCTGCACAGTTAGCTAGTTTTGATATATCTTTCACTGGATCAGTGTTTGTTATCCTTAGAGTATTCAGAAATTGGTGCTCAAGTTGGGTAGAGTAGCAATTTTGGATAGAAGCAGCCATCATGTTTCTAAAATGTGTTTTAGAAGTTTTCTACTCTCTTTTCGGTCTCACTGTTATTTGTAGGTTTCCTTTGGACAGGTTGATCCAGGGAACCTACAAATAAGATTGTGGGGCTTCGTTACAAAGTGATTTGTTACAAAGTGATTTGTGCAGTGCTGCTTTCTCTTTGGAAATTCATAAGCTTATTTCTTTAATGCTCAGTGGATGAAGTACATATAATTAAGGGCAGTAGCTCTTTTCTTATCTCACTAAGACTCTAGTTTTCTTAATTACTTTCATCCTTAGCTTTCTCTTTGGCAAAGCTGGAGGTTTCTGCAGAAACTCACTTCATGAAAGGATATTGTAGTTAGAGGGTTGTGAAGTACATACTTTGATCTAGTCCCTATATTTATAAAGTTATGTCACAGTGAGCATATAAGAATGGTGAATGTTAAAATGGATAATTTGATATGTATTCTATAGATGTTTACCCTTTTAAAAGGCTTATTAAGTCAAAGTAACTGATTAAATACATTCAGAAAATAGTAGAAGGTGGTTATTACTCTGATTTACTGTGAGTGAACAGAGGAATAGATTTCTTTTTATGAACTATTTAAAAGGTTATTCAAATTTCAAGGTCAGACTTTAATATGCAGAATGAGGGAGGTGAGCTGAGGAGGCAGTTATAATGCTGGAGCTTCTAAAACTAGCTGTGAATCAGAGTTTCTGGGGCAGGGGTGAAAGTGTATATGTTTGATCAGGATGTCATTTCCAAGGCCCACCCCAAATATACTAAATTAGAATCCCCAAACGTGGAGGTCTGAGCATCTGTAGTTTAAATATGTTCTGTAGGTTAGTCTGATGTAGCTGGTCTAAGGATCAGCATTTGGGAACCATTGACTCTCATGGCTTCTCATCACAATTAGAGTAAAATCAGTACTCCTTGCCTAAGCCTACAAGGGCCCTATATAATCTTGCCCCTGCCATTATCTCTGATCTCTTTCCCTTGTTTGTATCACTCTTCTCCTTGCTTACTATGCTTCAGCATGCTAATTTTTTTTCTTTTCCTGAAACAAGCCAAGTACATTCCTAGCACTTGCTGTTTCCTCTGCCTAGAGTACTCTACCCTTAGATAATTGCATGGATGATTCATTCTGGTTTTAGGTCAAATATCTCATCCTCAGGGTTGCCTGTTGACACCCCCAATCTGCAATTGGCCCCTGCACCCAGCAACCTCTGTCATATCATTCTGATTTATTTTATTTATAGCACTTGTCCCTAACTGAAATTATCATTTTATTTTATTTTTGTTCCTTTCCACTCCTGAATGTAAACTGCATGGAGGCAAGGGCCTTGCCAGTCTTGTTTGTTCTTGTTTCTCCAACACTAGAATAGTGCCTGGTTCTTAGTTAGTACTCAGAAGAGACTCGTTTTGAGACAAGCCTGCTCCAGTCAACCAGTGAGATCTTGTAATCTCAGGATCCAGTCAAGGAAAGGACAGAAATTCCTCAGCTGATCAAGCTGTGGTTAGCAGTTATTTGATATAATTCTGTTTTTCTTCTCTGTCTAGCTGTGTCTGGCTCAGGGCGAGGCCAGTGCCTAAAACGCATCCGCTACCACGGCAGAGGTTACTTCGGGATCATGGAGAAAGTTTATTGCCATTACTTTGTGAAGTTGGTGGAAGGACCCCCACCTCCACGTGAGGCACCAAAGACGGCAGTCGCTCACGCCAAAGAATATATTCAGGAGCTTCGCAACCGGACTATCATTCATGCTCTATGATGAGGGTATTCAGACTTCACAGTGTATATGGTTTGCATTTATTTTCTAACAATAAACAAAATTTAAAGACAAATACTTTTTATGGATTTATCATTGAATTATTGGAAGGAACATGGTATATAACTACTAGTTTTATATGAATATTTATAAGGCTTTGCCCATCTCTCTTGAGCCTCTGGGCATATTTGTATGCATTTGCAACTTGGAAAGGGAAATCATATTTAAACATAATAATAAACTATAATTTAGAAGGCCTTTTTAATCCCTTTTGAAGAGAATGTTAACTATCCAACTAGTGTCCTGCACCAGTTTTGATACTTGATTTGAATAGAGTGTTCTTATTTCATTTGATTTTCTCTTGGAACCTGGGGAGGGTATAGTGGAGGTTAGCATGACTGTGTCTTTTCATTGCAATATTATAGGACATTCAGTGGTTCTGTCTTTCCTTTCACTGTTGGCACAGGCCAGTGGGTAAGGGATTATATTTCCCTTTACTGTTTTAGCAGTAATTTGAAATTATAGGAGTTTATTAGCTATGCTAATTTAAAACTCCAAAAACCCTTTAACTTTGAAAGTTTTCTTTGAAAGTTAAATAAAGTCTATTTTTATGTCTTCTTCCAACATTGCTTTATATTGTTTGGATATCGTGTTTAGGACTGATTAATTTTTCAGGGTGAATTCAATTACTGGGAAATTGAACCAACCTCAGCATTGCATTCTAAAATAAGGCAGTAGGTGGCACTCACTTACCTCTTGTTTGCAGAAAATTGCTAGTTTCTAATTAAAGTGTTCAACACTAGTTGGCTGTCCCTGATACGCATGTTTTCATTGGCAAGAAGCACTCTTTGGTCATAGCCCTAGTCCAATATTTCTCAAACTTTTGTGTACAAAAGAAGAATCTGGGGTGCTTGTTAATGCAGACTTCTGGGCCCCACCCCAGAGATTCTGATTCACTAGGTCTTGTAAGGGGCTAGTTTCAGAAATCTGTGTTTTATTTATATTTATTTATTTATTTATTTTGAGACAAAGTCTTTTTTTTTTTTTTTTTTTTTTTTTGAGACAGAGTCTCGCTTTGTTGCCCAGGCTAGAGTGAGTGCCATGGCGTCAGCCTAGCTCACAGCAACCTCAAACTCTTGGGCTCAAGCAATCATCCTTCTGCCTCAGCCTCCTGAGTAGCTGGGACTACAGGCATGTGCCAACCATGCCTGGCTAATATATATATATTTTATATATATATTAGCTGGCCAATTAATTTCTTTCTATTTATAGTAGAGACAGGGTCTCGCTCTTGCTCAGGCTGGTTTCAAACTCTTGAACTCGAGCAATCCGCCTGCCTTGGCCTCCCAAGTGCTAGGCTTACAGGTGTGAGCCACCGCGCCTGGCCCAAAGTCTTGTTTTGTTGCCTGGGCTAGAGTGTTGTGGCGTCAGCCTGGCTCACAGTAGCCTCAAACTCCCAGGCTCAAGTGATTCTCCTGCCTCAGTCTTTCAAGTAGCTGGCACTATAGGCACGTGTCATTATGCCCAGCTAATTTTTCTATTTTTAGTAGAAATAGAGTCTCGCTCTTGCTCAGGCTGGTCTTGAACTCTTGACCTCAAGTGATCCTCCCACCTTGGCCTCCCAGAGTGCTAGGATTATAGGCGTGAGCTACCTCGCCTGAGAAATCTGTGTTTTAAATAAGCACTTCCAGGTGATTCTGTGGTAGGGAACTACACTTTGAGAACACTAGTCTAGTAGAATCAAGAATGTAATTTTAGTGCTGTGTTTTAAGATAGCATAAATAATACTATTTGCTGGGACCTTGTACTTTGCCAAATTCTGTGCTAGTATCTTACGTAATTCTTCACAACATCCTGCAAATGTAGGTATTGTTTTGCCACTTTACAAAGTGGAAGAAACTGAAGCACACGAAATTCAAATAATGATCACAGATTCACACTGTGTAAATATGAAGCTATGATTTAAACTAGATTTAAAGTACCTGGTTCTGCATACCTAATAAATATACAGCTGGATTTTTGTGTCTGTCCAGTTAACACAGTGCATGGGTAAAAAGGCATCAGAGCTCAGTGGAATAAACCAAGGTTTATTTAGGACAGATTTATTCTGTTATAGTGTGGCGTCATGGAAATAACACTAGAGTGGAAAGGGTGGCCTTCATTCTGGGCCTTGTATGCTTGTTGGTCAGAAAGAAGGCTGTAGGCAGGTCTCTTCCCTTACTGGCCTCATTCATCTAAGTGGCTCAGTGTTTTCTGTAGACAACCTTTTTCAGAATCACTTGAAGAATTTGTGTAAAAATGTAGATTCCTGGGCCCTGTTCTCAGCCTACGTGAATCAGAAGCTTTGGTGTGAGAGACCAGGGAACCTGCACTTTTAACAAACGCCCCAGTGATTTGCTTGTGGGAGAATCACCAGATCTCTATGCTCTCCTTCAGCAGAAATGCTCTAGGATTCTTAGCCTTGGAGTTGCTACTTCTTTGGATGGTGAGATGGACCTGTAACTATAAATTATGTAAATGAAGGCACTGCTTCAATTAGACTGTTGAAGCTATTTTGAAAGAGTTAAGGAAAAAACAGGCCTTCAATTGTAATGAAGAAAATTTGCTTATGATCTACAGTTAAGGCTTCATTTGGAACTGCTTCTAGTATATTATAAAGTGTAATAATAGCTAATCTGTAGTACTTAGTATGTATCTGGTACTGTTTTAAGCACTTTATGGACATGTTTAAATAGAACTTTATACACATATTTATAACTTTACATGTTTAGAAACTAACACCTATTATTCTTTAATGGCAATCTCTGAATGCTTGAAATTTCCTTCATTTTCAAAGAATTATGATAGACTCAGACTTTTGTTGCTGGAGTGTAGCTTATTCAGAAAGCACACCAGTCACAAGTAAAGGGCTCAATAAATGATTAGCTGGTGAACTTACCCAAGAAACCCCCACCAGTGCAAGAAATAGAACATGAATAGTAAACCTGGGCTGGGTGCGGTGGCTCACGCCTGTAATCCTAGCTCTCTGGGAGGCCGAGGTGGGTGGATCGCTCGAGGTCAGGAGTTCGAAACCAGCCTGAGCAAGAGCGAGACCCCGTCTCTACTATAAATAGAAAGAAATTAATTGGCCAACTAATACATATAGAAAATGGTGGCGCATGCCTGTAGTCCCAGCTACTTGGGAGGCTGAGGCAGCAGGATTGCTTGAGCCCAGGAGATTGAGGTTGCTGTGAGCTAGGCAGATGCCACAGCACTCACTCTAGCCTGGGCGACAAAGCGAGACTCTGTCTCAAAAAAAAAAAAAAAAATAGTAAACCTGAAGTCCCCTTCTTGCCCTCTCTCAGACGCTACCCCCTTTGTTCTTCCCAATGGTAACTATTAACCTGACCACTAACATGCATTAGATTTTTAAATTGCACATTTTTTTTTTAAGAGACAGAGTCTCTCTCTGTCACTCAAGCTGGTCTTGAACTTCAGGCCTCAAGCCATCCTCCTGCTTTGGCCTCTTGAATAGCTAGGACTACAGGTGTGCACCACCATGCCTGGCTAATTTTTAAATTTTTTTGTAGAGATAGGGGCTCACTATGTTTCCCAGGCTAGTCTCGAATTCCTCACTTCAAGTGATCCTTCCCCCTTGGCCTCCCAAAGTGCTTGGGTTATAGGTATGAGCCACTGTGCCCAGCCCAGATTTTTTTAAAAAAAGGTCAGTGTTTGTTTTATTCAACTCAGCATAGTTTATTGAGGAACTGAACCATTATATGCATGGTGCTAAGGATATAGGCAGTAAACAGAGTAAACACAGCTCCTGCCCCATGGAGCTCACTCTCTGATGGGAAAGACACACTGTTATTGGCCATTGTAACTGTTTATTGTGCCAAGTATTAACGAATTTGGGGAGGGGGCTTTGCCAGGAGGCTGTGGGAGCAGACATCAGGGGGCTCTGAAAAATAGTTACTGTTTCAGGGGGAGTTTATTTACTTAAAGGGATACAATGAGGGAGAAGGGTAAAAACAATATCATATGGAGCAGTAGAGAGTTATGGTATCATAATGCTAACTGAGGGGTTGTGTTTCTAGTAGTATAAACATTAGGACCAATTTATCCTTCTACAAGTTAAAATCTATGTGGGATGCAGTATGGGGTATATACTATCTTTGGAGCTGACTCAGATTCAGCAAACTTTATAAGGCTCTAGCTAAGCCTGAGGGTAAAGAATGTTTTATTTTGTAAAACACTGCAAAATGCAATGGATATGTTTCTCTGTAAGTGATGAAGAATAATTAGATTTTTTCCATGCATTTCACCTTAATACAGAAGTTGTAATAGTTTTAGTTGATTAAGAGGAGTTTAATCACATGTGGGTTTAAAACAGGAAATGTTTTTGGAATAGATGAGCATCTGGACAGATTACAGAGCAAGAGAAAGTTGCATAGGTGACATTAACACTTCTAGAGATGGGTACTTCCTAAGCCTGTCTCTCTGATGTAATTGTCCAGGATCATCTTATTTAGTGACTCTTTCTTGTTGTGACGATGGTTCAGAGTACATCTGAGTAGTTTTCATGGCAGAGCGTGCCCCTTCTATAATAGCATTTCTATTTGAGAGAGATTCTTAAACCAGTGTACTATGACTCAATTAATGTATAATTTAGGATATATCTGTTACAGTATTACAAATACTTTGCAAGTAAGGAAATATTGGTAGGTGAATCACACTTGTGCACTAAAATAAAAAATTTTTAAATGTTTGTCCAATAGGGACTTGAAAGAATTACTGTTTTCACTTATGCCCCAAGGAGGCTTATAAAAATTCCACATTGGAAAGGAAAGATGGCAAGATTAATATCAAACAAAGTGGAATTTAAGGAAAAAGTGTTAAATGAACCTTAAAGCATTGTTTACACGTGGAAGATCATATTCTGCAGTCGATTTTAGAAAATTTCTAAACCTTTTGAAGATACCTGTAAATTCCAGATGTCGATGGTCAACACCAGGGTAAGAAAACCTGATTTAAATAATTTATCTATCTAGTTACAGTTCTTTATTCTTTACTTTTGTCTATGCTCTGCAATATGAC